GGGGGGGGGCCATCGTGTGGTTTTGGAGTTGCTGCTAAAACGGCTCTCTGATGGTGTGGCTCCGGCTGGCTTTGGGCCTCACTGGCACGTGGAAAACTCTGGAATTCATTCCCTACGATTGAGGTCTGTGTTCACGGTACAAACTTCCCACGTGGACCTTTAATGTCAGCTAAACATTAGCCTGCAATAGACCAGCTCTAATCAACTGCTTGTTAAAACACCCCTTGAGCACTGGCTTAAGCAATGCTTAAAGTGAATTGTGCTCTGCAGAACAGAGAGAGAGAGAGAGAGCAAGAATGAGTCGTGGAAACGCAAAGGATAAGATAGCTCTTTGAACTGCCTCCTTTTTTGTGGTTTCATTAATTGGATGTGATTATGTGGAGTCACTTGGTAAAACCCGCCTCAGGGCACACTCTGTCTTAGGGGTAGACACTATTTCCCTCTGCTGAAGGTCCCATAGATAATTGTAACACTGGTTTGAATAAACCTTGCCTTTGTGTTGTCATGTGCATTTGGTCTAACACAGGAGTCTATCGTTTTTTTGATGTCTGAATAAATCACTCAGGAACTAGTGCCTGAATAATGACACACCCTTCATTTTATGTATGCAACATGGATGATTCAGTTTTAAAAAATGCAGGTTTTGGTTGGTTAAAATGACAGTTTAGTAGCCTACATGAACCTTACACATTCACACCTGGATTTTTGCTAAAATATTTTAAAAATTAGATTTTTGAATAATGATGTCTGAACTTCAAGTCCTTATTGTAAAATGTGAAAGGAACAGTTCAACTAAAAATAAAAATTCCGTCAACATAAACCTGTATCACGTTATTTCTTCTGTGGATCACAAAAGACAATTTTTGTTTATATTTGTGTTTGTTGTCTTTGTATTTATTTTTGTTTCGTGAAAGCCAGTGGGGTTCTATGCTTTTTCAAAATATGTACTTCTGTGTTTGTGGAAGAAATACATTTAAGTACAGGTTGGAGATGATGTGAGGGTGGGTAAATGATGGCAGAATTGTGTGTGTTTTTTTTAAAGGGAATTAAACTATCCCTTTAAATTACACAAATATGTTTAAAATACACATCATTTACTTTTCATGATTATTTCCATTTTCCAAAAACTGTTTTTATTGTCTTTTATTATATCTAATTTGCTTGACTAGAGTTTCCCTGTGTTATGTATGGCTTTTGCTGCTATTGTGTGCTCTACTGCTCTATTAAGTAGCATTCATCTGGAACTTGACAACAATTAGCAAATTACTAAGGTGAAACTCTAGTGCACAGCCTGAAACCACCAAACATTCAACTATTCTGTGGCAGTACTTTAAGTGCATGGCTCCATCAACAGGCTGTGTTTGGTGTGTCTAGCTCGTTGCCTTACACATTGACACCAGCTACTGAGGGTGCAGCAGGTGTGTATCTCTGACAGCAATGCCCTGAAGCAGTTCTTTACGTATTTGCACTGAGATATAATGCTTTATTCAGTTCCTTTTCTAAATAAATGAATTCAAATCATATGCTACAAAAGGCATTATGGAAAAATCACTTTTCTTGTCATTGGAATCCTGAGGATTGTAAGGTGGTGATACACTGCTCTGGATGAGGAAGATATTGTATTGCCTGAGGGGAGACACTGACATACAACACAGTATATGACTGCATTTGACAGCCTCACACTTCTGAATTACCATCTGCCTTTACCAATTCTGCTCCTATTTTGGTGCTTGTACCCAGACACACACATACACATTGGACCTTAGCAGTCTTCCCTC